ACTCTATTTCACAGAGCCAACACCATAGTGTCAGATCCACAGGATTTAGAGACTGAGTGTTAACCGCCGAAATGAGTCCTTAGCATGGTTCACAGAATTTATCATAGCGCAGTCAGAATCGGGAAAGCCAGGCTAAAATATATGTCGTTGTAATCCTCACAAGTCAGGGAACCTCGGGAAGTTCACTTGAAGATCACACTTGTACACAAAAACGAGCTTTGTAGCGTCAAAGTTGACCTTTATTCGCTAGCTAAGAACTCATTTTGGCGTAGGTTTTCGAACTGTATGGGGGTTTCCGTGATACCGCTAATCCCATCTACTTCCGGGTCACGGCTTACGAGGTTCGGTTACTAGTATATTACACGCCAAAGAGCGAAGGAAACGTTGCGGAGTGAAATTTCATGAAAAAAGCTCTTAAAAAGCCGCGCCTATATTTAATTAAAGGTTTCGCAACTTCTTCCCAAAAAGCACATAAAGCACACACAATTACGCTTTGGCGAGTATATTAGGGTCTGCCCTCCGTGTCTATCATATAAATGATACACGTAAACGTCGGGTCGTCTTCGAAGTACCTTATGTATCATTTCAATGATACGTGTAACTACCTAGGTTTTACAAAGTCGGACTGACTTCCAATATAGTAATCCCACTATCATATCTACGCATGTGTGAGACGGGTACACTGTACCAGCAATCATTTAAATAGCTAATAGAAGAGTTACCACTTGGCTCTTAAAAAGCCGCGCCAATAAGGTTTCGCAACCAAAAATCCAATTACGCTTTGGCGAGTATATTAGGGTCTGTCCTCCGTGTCTATCATATAAATGATACACGTAAACGTCGGGTCGTCCTCGGAGTGCTTTTTGTATCATTTCAATGATACATGTAACTACCTTAGGTTTTCCAAAGTCGGACTGACTTCCAATATTTACTATATTATCTATGATATCTACGCATGTGTGAGACGATAAAAATCCCTTCACCCTTTGGCGAGTACTCTTTCTCGCAAAGGCGATTATGGTCTGCCCTCCGTGTCTATCATATAAGTGATACACGCAAACGTCGGGTCGTCTTCGAAGTACCTTATGTATCTATTTTAATGATACGTGTAACTACCTAGGTTTTCCAAATTCGGACTGACTTCCAATATAGTAACCCCACTATCATATCTACGCATGTGCGGGACGATCAAAAAATCCCTTCACCTTTGGCGAGTACTCTTTCTCGCAAAGGCGATTATGGTCTGCCCTCCGTGTCTATCATATAAATGATACACGCAAAAGTCGGGTCGTCCTCGGAGTGCTTTATGTATCATAGCTATTTAAATGATTGCTGGTACAGTGTACCCGTCTCACACATGCGTAGATATGATAGTGGGGATACTATATTGGAAGTCAGTCCGACTTTGGAAAACCTGGGTAGTTACACGTATCATTGATCTCTGAAGCTGTCTGGACCTCTGTCCAATACGTGTTCCATATGTCGGAAAGAGCACACAGAGGACATGTCCTTGTATCGCTGTATGGACTGTGGACCTACTGCCACATTTTGCATTGAATGCCTCAAACAACAGCACCGAAACTCACTTCACCTGCCTGAAGTATGGAAGGTAGTTGTATGTCATTGCTATTTTGATTATAGAAATGCTTGTTAATCTGCCAGGTTTGAGGTCCCGTCCACATAGACCCCGTTCACTACCAGACTTCATTCAAAAAACNGTTGAAACCG